ACACCAGCAATATCTTTGTATGTATCATTTAACATGCCATGCTTATGTGTAACTATCATTCCAATCGCGAATTTTATATTAGGCGATCTCGTTTTGTGAAATGTTTCATTTGATGAAAAACATTTTGACTGAAAGATTAGTATAGATGACGCTTTAATATATATTATGTAATGTATAACTTAATTAATGTAACAATTTGAATTAAGAATAATTATAGTTAATGAGATTTTTACACGTATAACTATTACGTACGTTAATTTGTTACATGTCTTTAATTTATAATATGTACAATAATTGAATGTAATTGTCTTACCACCACATCACACTCATCTCTTGGTGGGAATATGAAATTATCTTTCTCAGAGTCATAATTAAGTTCTTCGTATTCCTTCATATATTCGCATATCTTCATTAACAAACTATCCCTAAAAAATTGTTATTAAATTTTTAATCAAAATCATTTATGATATCATATGTAATGATTAAATTGATATTATAAACGTGTGTAAAAAGATAAATTTAGATTGATTTTTGAAACTCTATAATCTAAAATAAGTTGTATATAATATGCTTTTTCAATTTATTATAACCGAGCTTATCGATTTCAATGTTCTTTAAATATTTTACAGTAAAATTGTCGCTGATTCTGTTTTTCTATCAAACGTCTCTGTACTAAATGTCCGTACAGTTTTGAAATTATAAATATCTGAAAGTAAAAGTATAAACCTATCGATATTTTATATAAATAACTAATTACCAACAATATTCATCTGTCAGTGGAGGAGGCGGCACTAGTCGGCAATTTTTTATTTTAGATATCTTTCTATCATCTGTCCATTCAAACGTGAAATATTCTCTATTTTTTGTACAATTTCTGTAAAACATTAAAACATCTATTTATGAACATTAGTGTAATGTAGATGTTTGAAAATAATAATTATTATATGATACACTTTTTTATTTATTTATTGGAATTAATTTTATCTATTATATATATATATATATCTATATATGTATATATGTATTCCTTATAGAAATTTATCACTAGTAACGCCAATTTATTACTTATTTCGAGTAATTATAATCACTCATTTCGAACTCTTAAATTATTGTATATCAGTATTTTAAGTACTTAAAATAAGTGATTAATTAGCATTACTAGTGATAAATTTTTACAAGAGATTAAATTTACGAGTACCGACTAGTGTTATACTGGAACAAACTAAACTATATATATATATATATATATATATATATACATATAAGTCTGTGGTTCATCTCAACTGTTTAGTTTGTCCCTGTATAACACTAGTCGGTATCCGTATATTTTTATTAAACTATATAATACAATTTTTAAATAATATATATAATAATATATTATAATACATGTGGGCATTGACGTGCAACTTTTTATGCGTATAATACGAATACAAAACAATATAAATAACAACAATTAATTTTAAAGATATAATTATATATTTAATATATTTACCTAGATTGCCAAACCAAAACTATTGAATAAAAATCAACGGAATTGTTTCTTGTTGTTGTAACGAATAAACCCAATCTATTTGCAACGCAAATATATTATTAACCAAATCACATGTTTATAAAATAATATACATCCTGTATACTGTCAAAAAACAATAAGTGTAAAAATATTATATAATAACAATTATAATAGAGAATTATTATTACATTTATGATTTAAAAGTTTAAAAATTCTAATTCATCATAGTTAATAAAAAACATCATATGTAAAAAAATTGACGTACCAGCGGCCGAAAAAACGTTTTTCTTCTTTTCTCATTCGGTTCCATCCATAATTCATAGGAATTGAAACTTACAATAATTTTGTCAAGTACATACTTAATTGAGTTTGCGTGCGTTTCGCTCCAATAATTCTTATCAATATAATTATTTTTCCAAATCGCAAATTGTTCAGGTTGTATAGACAAAATCGGATGCTGAAGATATTTATCTTTCAAATACTTTAATACGTCTTGCACGATATTGTCTATGAATTTATCTATATGCAAGATAGTAATAAACTTATCGGGATGATGCCGTCGTAATATTACGACAATTAATTTCTCCCAACGCTGATTGGGTTCATACGACAATGTACGCCATTTTGAATAATAAATATTTTTATTCAACCATTCAAATATTTGTATGCTGTGGTATCTTTCTGTTAAATTAGACTGGCTGAAAAATGTACATAATGTAAAATTAATACACAATAATCAAATAAACATACAATAAATTTTTATTGATATTTTAAAATATATTTAAATCATACCGTGGATCTTGATGATATATGTTTCTGGTAAGTTCATCATGGAAAATATATCGACTCAAATTGTACTTTCGACTATGACGACTGACAAATTTTTCTATATATCTTTCTATGATCCATTCATCTTCCTTACAGTAATAATATATTTCAGACATACGGGACACATAAAACCACAATTTTTCCACACATTTCATACCCTTTTTTAAATATTTAAATTTTATGTCATCGAACTCAATGCCCATTTTTTTTACAAAATTCTACTGCAGTAGGCCATCTAAAATTTAAAACACAATATACTTTAAAAAATTTTTGAAAATAATAATAAGAAATTTTAACTCATCATCCCATATTATATATTCAAATCAAGTTTAAGAAACTGTCTATGTTCAATGATTTTTGGGTTCTGGAAATTCTAAAATGTTAATAGGATCTGTAAAAAATGCACAACGTTTGCGCAAAATACTATTTTAAAATACATACATATTTACAAATACAAATACACAGACTATATATTTTGATTTGTCTCATACAGTGATTTTTGCGACATACTTATAATTTACGTTTGATGCGATGTTCTAATAAAATGCTAAATATAGTAAAGAAATTTGTATTCTATTTTGTTATTACAGCATATTACTTTTAAGTATCATAGTTTTCTTATATACAAATAAATATATTATTTTAATATCTTTTAATATTAAATACATACATCAAAAGAAAATATTTTTAGTGAGTTCTCTTTTAAAAATATTAACAAATTGATTATTGACTTATAGTATTTATTCAGAAATTACATTTAAAATTCACACTCTTGTTAATTAATTTTTACATTCTCAAATTGCTAGCATGTTGATCTTTCTTTTCTAAATGAATTAAATGATTTCTTTATTTTTGCGAGAAAGTTTCCCGTTAACGTTTTAAATCATTCTTCTATAAATTCAATGCCAATTGATCAAGTGTTCATTCATCGATTATTATACATGATTTATCGCGTCTACTAAAAATAGCTGACAATTCATAAAAATTCTTTATATTCTTTACATTCCGTAAGCTCTTTTTAGCGTAATCAAGCGTGACAAATCGTATCAAATAAATGAAAACATTGCATGCAACAATAAGTAGAGATGAATGATTTATTTCTCACATGTGCGTAATCTTGAGTGTGATCTTAGACATTTTTATACTGGCGAAATTACTTCTGTTTTCAATTGCAATCGGTAATTCGAAAGTTTAGTAAGTTGTTAAATACTATAAATGATGCAAACCAATACACAAAAAAATTAAAATAAATTTACTTAAATTAGGAAGAAAATATATTGAAAATGTAATAATTAACTAACAAATAATGCTAATTATAAATACAATAACTAAATTACTGAGTTACATCCTTTATTTAGTAATCAGCACGACAATATTTTAAAAATTTAAATGACAACAATATAGAATATCTCACGCGTTTGATTAATATTTCTATTCTAATTTAAATGTTTATCCTTTTGCGAATTTGAAAAGACTAAGCTATATAAGCTCAAATAAATTAAAAAATGCTTTAAATTACATTTAATTCGATATCCTTTATTAGATTTTAGAATATTATTTTAAATGCTTCTAAAAGCAATTTTTTGCGTAAGTTTATTTAAATATATTTTTCGACAAGTTTTTGCAAATTTCTTTTTTATGCAATGTATCCATTCAGTAAAATGATGAAAAAGTTCATACATAAAAAACTTACCTCTGAGCAAACTTTTTCTTCCAGAGAATTTTGTCACGGGACATACATTGAAATATATTGCACGTGGAACTAAAATTCACAATGTCCCTCGAACTAATATTTTTGTTTTGCAGAATTATTAAAATAATTTCTGGAGGCAAGATATTGATCGCAGCCATTATTTAACAGAAATGTGTATAATAAACACACGTATGATATAAAAACAACTGGCAGTTTGAGTTTTTCTTAATAAATCGATTGATATTTTATATACTAACGCACGTGGCCTAGTGCATCGTGAACAGCCATAGACTGAGAAATAGACTGACCAAATGCTTTGTTGAAGGGAGGGGGCAAAGGAAAAAGATATATGTATATTTCTTTTCATCTTTCATTCCACAATGGTCTTTCTTTGACTAGACACTGGGCATTTGGCCTACCTTTTTATTAGTAAAGAAAGAATTCATTTTCTTTTGTACAATTCTTCTGGTCTCGTTCTATTGTTTGCATTACACTATACCCAGCAACACAGTAGGGGATGCCGGATGATGTTTTTACCGACCGAATGCGAGAATATTTAGTTTTTTTTATAACTTTATATTGACTATACTGATCAATAAATCCTTTTCCACGATTAAAGTACTTATAAAAACAGACCGCGCTAGCTATGTTTGCATATATAAATCATATAATTATTAAAAATTACAGTTTTGTTATCAGCTTCTTTGTGTCAGTTCGTAATAATACTTATTTAATAAAAAAGTTCTGCTGCTTGTCTGTGCATGAAATATAGTATACTGTATATGATATATAAATATAGTATGTATATATATAAAATACTAGTATATATGAAATACTGATATACAGTAATTTAAGTACTCGAAATAAATGATTAAATACTCGGCATAAATGATAAATTGGCGTTACTAGTAATAAATTTTTATAAGAAATGATTACAAATAATTTTAATATTACTAATACATATTTTTTTTTGTCATGTTAAATATTTTAACGTATTATTTATGTTTGATCCGAGTCTATTGTCAGAGAACAAATCTTTACATAAACACTTTTTATGCGCACTATTTTAGAAGGATTTTTTTCTTTGGCAAGATATTTATGATGGTTTGTTATTGTTTTTCGAGAACTGGCATCAATATACAAACTTTCGAATTTCAATCCAGCTTTTAACCCTGACTAAAAAATGGCAGACACACACTTTTGCACCACTCAAAATATTATAATTTTCGACTGCTCAATATTTCACGAACGACAGCGGCATCGTCTGGATAATATTTTTCTAGCATTTTGTTTGGTACATAATGAGTGCCTTCGAATTTACAGAAAAATCTTCCAGTTTCTGAATTGTTTATCCATTCTTCGCATGTCGATGTTATAGCACCTAAAATAAAAAAGTAAAGATAAAAAAATTATGCATTAAATTTATTATGCGATGTATCATAAATAATATAAATAGAAATATCATAGAATATAGAAATATAAAGTATATTGAAGCATATAATTCTCGTACATTGTGGAACATAACACAGCTTATTCTCAACTAACATAACGTAGTATGGTTGCGATTTCCAATCTTTTATGTTATATTTCTCAATACATTCTTTTTTAATTTTATTTGGAATACAATATGAATTCTTATATCGAAAGCGTTCAATGTGGCATTCGTTATGCCACCCAATAATGACACCAGTAATATCTTTTTGTGTATTATCTTCCATGTCATGCTTATGTGTAACTATCATTCCGATCGCAAATTTTAGATTAGGCGATCTTGTTTTCCGAAACATTTCATCTGGACTACAAATTGTCTGAAAAATTAGTATGTATGTTACTTATGTATTTTAATTTGTTACATGTCATTAATTTATAATATGTACAATAAGTGAATTCAATTGTCTTACCTCATTATACAGAGTTATTGATGGTGATATGTACTTATTGTAGTCAGTAAAGGTGTCTTCACATTTAGTCAAAAATTCGTATATCTGCATTGACAAACTAGGCCTAAAAATTTTTTATTAAATTTAGAATCAAAATCACAAATGGCATCATATGTAAATGATTAAATTCAATTTATAAAGAATATAAGTATGCTGTCTTCTAAGCTGGGCAATAGAGCCAAGGAAACGAAACGAAAAATTAATTAAACGGAACTGTATCTCAATTTGAGATCCCAAAGTTCCACATATAAATTAATTTTGCAACTTACATATGGAGAAATAAGCGAGAAAAATATAGGTCCGAAAAGTCGCTGAAGCGGGAATTTATAAATGTGTGTAAAAAATGAATTTAAATTGATTTTCGAAACCCTATAATCAAAAATAAATGTATATTATATGCTTTTTTAAATTTATTATAATCAAGCTTATCTATTTCAATGTTCTTAAAATATTTTACAGAGGAAACGTTGCTGATTGTGTCTTTTCTATCAAACGTTGCTGCAGTAAATGTTCGTACAGTTTTGAAGTTATAAACACCGGAAAGTAAAAGTCTAAACCTATCGGTAGTTTATATAAATAATTATATAAATACGTAATTTTAAATAATTAATTTAATCGAAAATATAAATAATTAATTACCGATGCAGGTTTGTCAATGGAAGAGACCACTCTCGTCGGCATTCTCTTATGCTAAAAATTTTCGCATCTTCTGCCCACCCAAATGTGAAACATTTTAGATTTTCTGTATTATTTCTGTATAAACATTAAATAAGTAACATATTTATGTACATCAGTGTAATATAGATGTTCAAAAATAATATTCATTCAATGATACATTTTTTATCTATTTAAAACTAATTTTTTCTTAACAAAAGAAAAGTTTTTTATTATTTTAGTTGTTTAATGTATTATATATATATGTGTGTATATATATATATAATATATATATATATATATACATATATAAAATTAGATTATATGTATATTTTTGTCAATACACTAATCACAAAAGTGTCCTCCTACATTAGAATTAACTATCTATCTAATATTTCTAAAATATCTCCCAAAATCAGATCATTCTTTTTTAAAACAATTTCTTTTTATTTTAGTTTTGTCTAAACATTTCTTTTTTAAATCCCCAATTAAAACACTGTTCGTAATACTTGTTGAAAGTACAAAGTAATCTTCTTTCTAATTGTATATATTTTATTAGTTTTTTAAATTTATAAAAAATTTGTTTTTATTAAAAATAAGAGAAAAAATACAGTTAATATATAGACCCTATTAAATTTTATAACTTTAGTCTCAATTTTTGTAGAAAATGCTAAAAAGGTTTAAAGTCTGAAACAAACGCTTATTTATATTGATTATTTCCTATGCTGTGAATATCTGTACGTTGTGGTTATTCGTGGAACAATTAAAAAAATTATATATATATTTATACATATAAGTCTACAGTTCGTCTCAACTGTTTAGCTTGTTTCAGTATAACACTAGTCAGTTCCCTTATAATTGTAATAAACTATATATTATAATATTTAAATATATAATAATACATTAACATATATGAGTATTGACGTGCAACTTTTTATGCGAGACAATATAAATAAAAACAACTTCAGAGATAAAATTATATATTTACCTGAAATGATGAACCAAATGTGTATCTCGAATACAATCAGTTCCATCGTGTGATTTTGTTGAAACACGTAAACCCAATCTATTTGCAACGCAGATATATATTGTCAACCACAACATATGTTTATAACGTAATATATCTTTTCTAGTCTGTCGGAAAACAATAAGTGCAAAAATATAATAAATAGAATTATAATAGAGAACTATTATTAATTATGATAGCTTTAAAAAATTCTAATTTATTATAGATAATAAAAAACATCATATATAAAAGAATTGACGTACCAGCGGTTTATAATGCCGTTCCGTACTTATCTGATTCGGTTCCATCCATGATTCATAAGAATCAAAACTTACAATAATATTGTCGAGTGCATACTTAATTGACAATGCGTGCGTTTCGTCCCAATAATTCTTATCAATATAATTATTTCTCCAAATCGCAAATTGTTTAGGTTGTATAGACAAAATCGGATGCTGGGGATATTTATCTTTCAAAAATTTTAATACTTCTTGCACGATATTATCTATGACATTATCTACATGCAAGATAGTAATAAACTTATCGGGATGATAACGTCGTAATATTATGACAAACATATCCTCCAAACGCTGCTCTTGATTGGATAATTTCTCCAGAAGTTTATGCCATTTTAAATTAAAAATATCGTGACTCAGGCATCGAAATATTTGTATGCTGTAGTATTTTTCTGTTAAATTGGATTGGCTGAAAAAAGGAAAATATTGTAAAATTAATATACAGTAATCATTTAAATATACAACAGATTACTAATAATATTTTAAAATATATTTAATCATACCGTGGATCTTGTTGGAATATGTTTCCGATAAGTTCAACAAGTAGGATAAACATATTGAAAGGGTGCTTTTCTTTATGAAGACTGAGAAATTGATTTATATCTGTTGCTGTGATATATTCTTTTTCCTTACAGTAATGATACATCGCAGACATACGAGACACATAAAGCCACAAATCTTCCACACATTTCTTACCCTCTTTTAAATCTTTAATATTTACGTCATCAAATTCAATGCCCATTTCTTCTTTCCACAATATCGGCATAGTAGAGCATCTAAAACACAGAAGACTTAAAAAAATTGTCGACAATCATACTAAGAAAATTATACTCATCATCCCATATTATGTATTCAAATCAAATCGAAGAAACTGACGATGTTCAATGATTCGTGGACTCTGGAAATTATAAAATGTTAATAGGGTCTGTAAAAAATGCAAAACGTTTGCGCAATATACATACATATTTATAAATAAAAATACAGACACTATATATTTTAATTTGTTTTATACAGTGTTCTTCGCGACACACTGATATTTTATGTTTGACGCGATGTGGTAATAATATGCTAAACATAGTAAAAAGATTTATATTTTATTTTGTTACTACATCATAACGTGATGAAATATGTAATTTATATTGAAAACACATATGTATATGAATTATATTATATATTTATACATTACAAATGTTACGTTACTGGTAATTTATATGATTTGTTTATTTCCTTATATACAACATTTGCATAACACATGCAGGCGCGCTATTATTCTATTTTATTTACGCTATTTTAAAGTATAATAACTTTCTTACATGCAAATAAATATAACATTTTAATACACATATGTTGTAATATCGAGTACATATATCAAAAGGGAATTTTTTCAGTGAGTTCATAAAAAAATTTTTCTTTACATTCTGTATGCTGTTTTTAGCGTAAACATAATAAATCGTATCAAATAAATGAAAACACATTATGCAACAATAAGTACAGATGAATGATTTATTTCTCGCATGTGCGTAATTCTAAGTGCAATTTTAGACATTTTTCTACTGTTGAAATTATTTCTGTTCTCAATTGCAATTAGTAGTTCGAAAGTTTAGTAGTTTTTTAGATACTTAAGCATGCAAAAGAATACACAAAAAAATTAAAGTATATACACTTAAATTAGAAAGAAAATATATTGAAAATGTAATAATTAATTAACAAATAATGCTAATTTTAAATGCAATTACTAAATAAATGCTGTAACTCAATAATCGACACGACAACATTTTTAAAGATTTAAATGACAACAATATAAAATAATTCACGCATTTGAATAATATTTCTTTTCTAATTAAACTGCATACTCTTCAAAAAGCAATTATTTGCGTAAGTGTATTTAAATATATTTTTCACCAAATTTTGGCAAAGTGCTTGCTTTTTATGCGATGTATCCATCAAGTAAAATAACAAAAAGTTCATACATAAAAAAACTTACTCCTGAGTATATTTTATTTCCCTGAGATTTTTATAATGAGATATCCACTGAAATTTCTTGCACGTAGAACTAAAATTATCAATGTCCCTAAAGCTAATAATTTCACTTTCTAGAATTATTAAAATAATCTCGGGAGGCAAATCCTCTATCGTAACCATTATATTGTATATACGAGAAAAATATATATAACAAACACACGTACAATATAAAAACAACTTGCAGTTTTAATCTTAACGCATCGAATAATATTCTAATGCACCAACTCCGTTTTGTAGAGAACACAAGACTTACTGCATCGTAGGACAACTGTAGACCTGGAATGTCCAAATGCTTCCGGAAAGGGTGGGGGAAACAAAGAAATGATATATTATACAGGGTGTATCAAACTTAACGTGTCACACATTTATGGGAAATTCTTGACGTGATTTGCAGACCATTTTTTCTCGGTGAAAATGTCCAGGCATCAATAATTTTCAAGTTATAAACGATTGAAAATAAGGGTTTTTCGCAAACTAAGCTTTGAGGAAATAAAATATTAACAAAGTCATATTTTTTTATTAATTTTATGTAGAGTTTACTCTAATAAAATTTTAATTTAAGGTGTGGTTACAAAGATACATGATTTCAAAAATAGGGAACATTAAAAAATGATGACCTTTCTCGACATTTTTGCTGAAGAATCGTCTCCAAACAACCTTAGAAATCTTCCATTAACGCGTGGTACGATATATCTGAAACACCCTGTATATTTCTTGTATCTTTCACTCGAGTTTCCACAACGACTTTTCTTGGATCCGACTCTGGAATTTTGACCTGCCATTTTCGTTCGTGGGAAAAAAATTAATTTTCTTTTGGGCGCGTTCTTGTTCGTTAATTATATTTTGCCACTATCACGGACCGGGAGAGGATATTTTATCCGGAATTATTAATTTAGGGTGCAAAGTATACTGTATCTCACTTCATTTTATTCGTAGCACAAAAGACCTGATACAGACTTTTTACTCTTTACCGAGAAAAACTGTGTTACGCAAACGCAAGTCAAATTCTATCTGCTCTCGAGGCCGCGTATTGTCTCGCCTCTCTCTTTAATTCCTCGACCTTATTTTTATTTTTAGGTGATTAGACTATCTTTTATTTTGAGGTTCTCTCGCTTTTTATTATGTTCGGAAATCAAAATTTACCTTTGTCATGTTAGTCGCTTAATTATTTATTTATTGTTTTGTGTCACCGCTCGCGATATCCTCAACACTCGTCGCTTGTAATTCAAATTTTTATTTTATATATATCTTATGTGTTTGTGGCATTTATCGCCACACTATGTTTGCATATATAAATCATATAAAAATCAAAAATTACAGTTTTGTTATCGACTTCTTTGTGTCAGTTTGTAATAATACTTAATTAATAAAAAAATTCTACAGTTTGTCTGTGTATATAAAATATAGTATACGCGGTAAGGATAATATAAAGAATTATTAGTGAACGATTAAAAGTGAGATTGCAAGTCTAATAAAAAAATTATATATTAGAAACATTTTTACGCGTATGTGTTGTATACGTGCATATGTTTAGATATGTGTGGTGCTAACTTATCGGAGTTCGGCCGTCGCTCCAGCATCCCCTAATTACAACTAACATGGATGTTACATGTAACGTACACGTTATATTACCTGTTACATTCTGTTTTATTATAGCAATGTAACAGTTATATATCAGTGTTTGCTGGGATCATATTTTAATCAAAACTGACGCTTTTTTAATTCTAAGAAAGAGGGAAACGTTTATCTTATAACTTATTATGTTATTTTTATAAAAACTAGTGTTGAGATGCATTTTACAAGATTATATTATTACATCACGGTCTTTTTTACACTGTACTCCTCAATTTACTCCAACATATTGTTTTAAAATTAAACAATTATGGTAACAGAAATTATAACTCTCTCAATTGCCGTTTATTTTAATTTCTGCTTTATCAAATAACTAGCAATTTGAGAAGAATGCAGTATAAGTAGCGTTATTTTAATATTTTTCTCAATCATCAAATATCAAAGTACTTATTGACTAATAAAAACAGTAGAACATTATTGTCAACTTTTTATTTTAAAAATTCAAATAATGTTATGTGAATTTACTTTTAACACGATTTTACGTTTATTTTATAAAAAGACAAATTAACTGTGACATGAAGAATCATCAAATCTTATTATAGAAATCATTGAATTATTTTAGTGTCACATTGTATCACTTTTGTTCGGGATACCTTTTATCACGTGCTAATGTTTTTTGTACTAAATCTCCTCGAGATTTTTTATCACAAACTCTTTGAGTGAGAAAACAGCTTTTGGAATTATCCGCGAGTAGTCGTATGCGTGAAAATATGGATGGAAAATATTTATATTAGACAGAGTCAGTAACAGTAAGAGGCTCCGATAATAAATATAATGAGCGGAAAACAGGGCCAATTAAAAGTCAAGCATTGTTATTGATACGCAAAACGAATAATGATAAATTAAATAATTTATTAATACATTTCGGTTTTAAGTTCGGACCATCTTTAGCATCTGAGAAATTGATACGATATAAATTTAGAAAAATAATATTCTTATAATCAGCAAAGCGTGAATAGATTCATACATACATGATTAAAACAATATCAACGAGCAAATTATCGTAGATATACAAACACCATCCGAAAAATCAGTATCTTATTCCGGTGCTCGCCGAACAAGATTATTCCGAACAAGCACACGCACCACAAATTGAGATACAGTGATCGAGATAATGAACAGTAATAGCTAAACTATTCTTGTGTCGAAGAACAATGAGAAATAAACAAAACATAATAGATATAAACAACGTGTCACACCATGTTGTAAAGAGAAATTCATAATCGCTATGAACATTGCCGATTTTTAACAAGTCATTATGTTATAATAAAGACCTATTTATACTTTGCGACAAATCTAAAACGTCAAACTAAACACAATGTAGTTTATAAGAAAATAATTTTTCTAAATTTTTATCGTATTAATTTTTCAGATGCTGAAGATGGTCCGAACTTAGGACCAAAACGTACTAATAAAATATATAATTTATCACATTATTCAATTTGCATATCAATAACTACGTCTGGCTCTTAGTTAGCCCTGTTTTCTACACATTATCTTTATTTATTATATTTATTATATTTATTTATTAGAATTTAAAAAAAATATATTGCATACGTAATATTCAATGTTAACTTTCAATCAATTTGGAATTTTCATCTTATTCAAATAAAAAAAAAAAAACATTTGTTCCCAAAGTTTTGGTCCTCGATTTACCGAAAACTTTTCTTCCTTCTTCAATAGCAATAAGTTTGGATATCAAAGAATTAAATCACTCACAATATTTTTAACTATTTTTAATTATCAGAATTTCTCAAAATTATATTTATTTGTATGTGTTTGTGGTAATGTTAATAGTTAATAGCCATAATAATTGTATACTAAAATTAACATTTTTTCTGATCATGAATAAAATAAAAATATAATATATAATATTAAATATAACAGCTGCTTACAGCGACACCTTTAGTCGATATCATGAAATAAAGACAACAATAATTTTCAAAACTTCAAAGTAATGTTTTATTCGTTCTATTGATCGATCGAATGAATCATACATAAATGTGTGTGTACATCTCTCATAGAAATTTATCATTAGTAACGCCAATTAATCACTTATTTCGAGTACTTAAAATACTGATATACAGTAATTTAAGTACTCGAAATACTGATATACAGTAATTTAAGTACTCGAAATAAATGATTAAGTACTCGAAATGTGATAAATTGGCGTTACTAATAATAATTTCTATAAGAAATAATTACAAATAATTTTAATATTACTAATACATATTCTTTTGTCATCTTAAATATTTTAACGTATTATCTATGTTTGATCTAAGTCTATTGTCAGAGAACAAATCTTTACATATACACTTTTTATGCGCATTATTTTAGAAGGATTTTCTCTCTTTGGCAAGATATTTATGATGGTTTGTTATTGCTTTCCGAGAACTGGCATCAATATACAAACTTTCAAATTTCAATCCAGCTTTTAACCCTGACTAAAAAATGGCAGACACACACTTTTGCACCACTCAAAATATTATAATTTTCGACTACTCAATATTTCGCGAACGACAGCGGCATCGTCTGGATAATATTTTTCTAGCATTTTGTTTGATACATAATGAGTGCCTTCGAACTTACAGAAAAATCTTCCAGTTTCTGAATTGTTTATCCATTCTTCGCATGTCGATGTTATAGCACCTAAAATAAAAAAGTAAAGATAAAAAAATTATGCATTAAATTTATTATGCGATGTATCATAAATAATATAAATAGAAATATCATAGAATATAGAAATATAAAGTATATTGAAGCATATAATTCTCGTACATTGTGGAACATAACACAGCTTATTCTCAACTAACATAACGTAGTATGGTTGCGATTTCCAATCTTTTATGTTATATTTCTCTATACATTCTTTTTTAATTTCATTCGGAATACAATATGAATTCTTATATCGAAAGCGTTCAATGTGGCATTCGTTATGCCACCCAATAATGACACCAGTAATATCTTTTTGTGTATTATCTTCCATGTCATGCTTATGTGTAACTATCATTCCAATCGCAAATTTTAGATTAGGCGATCTTGTTTTCCGAAACATTTCATCTGGACTACAAATTGTCTGAAAAATTAGTATGTATGTTACTTATGTATTTTAATTTGTTACATGTCATTAATTTATAATATGTACAATAAGTGAATTCAATTGTCTTACCTCATTATACAGAGTTATTGATGGTGATATGTACTTATTGTAGTCAGTAAAGGTGTCTTCACATTTAGTCAAAAATTCGTATATCTGCATTGACAAACTAGGCCTAAAAAATTTTTATTAAATTTAGAATCAAAATCACAAATGGCATCATATGTAAATGATTAAATTCAATTTATAAATGTGTGTAAAAAATGAATTTAAATTGATTTTCGAAACCCTATAATCAAAAATAAATGTATATTATATGCTTTTTTTAAATTTATTATAATCAAGCTTATCTATTTCAATGTTCTTAAAATATTTTACAGAGGAAACGTTGCTGATTGTGTCTTTTCTATCAAACGTTGCTGCAGTAAATGTTCGTACAGTTTTGAAGTTATAAACACCGGAAAGTAAAAGTCTAAACCTATTGGTAGTTTATATAAATAATTATATAAATACATAATTTTAAATAATTAATTTAATCAAAAATATAAATAATTAATTACCGAAGATGCAGATTTGTCAATGGAATAGACCACCCTCGTCGGCATTCTA